GGCTGTCCCACAAATAAGAGGGTCCAAGACAATGAAAGACTTGGTATGTGATAGCCAATACCTTAAACAGAGATCAGTAACATCTGATTCTCATTCTGGAAAACAATATCCTTTAGATAACTGAACCATTTAGATAATCAATAACCCTTTAGATAACTGAAATGCTCCAGATAGTATAATATGGCCTTGGTCACACGGGCCGGATATCGCGGGGGGGGGGGCGTGGCTGTTTGTCCCACAGCGAAATAACGCGCGACTGTGCGATCAGGCGTCCCCTCGCGGTCCTGTCGAGGTCCCGTGGTTAGGGGGGAGATGCCGATCACACGATGCGCCAAAGAAGCGGCGCGGCGTGGCAAACGGGGTTGTGTGTTTTTTTTTAACCTGAAGTATGCGCATGCTCCGTTGGGTGCTTGTGCGCATCCCTGGAGATTTCGGGGGGGGGGGACTTTTCACAATGGGGCATGGGCGGGCGCCGGATGCCACCGGAAACGCGATCAGATGACTGCCCTTGCCCTGCGGTTTCCGGAAACTAGTACCTCCGAGGTACTAGTTTTTTGCCGCGCATCTTCGGCGGGAAGCCTCGGTTGAGCCACGGGAGCTCTACGCTTCCCAGATGTGGCAGTGAGATCGCGCCCGGAAAATCCGCCTATCTTCCGTCTCTCTAGCGTGGCTAATGCTCCGTGTGACCGGGGCCTATGTAAGGTTGTTGTGATTTTGTTATACTTTGCATTCATAAAATAGAACAGCTTATTTGATACCTTTGTGCTTCCCTAAGAGAACAGAGGTTTGTCCTGGAAAAATAAATGGCTGTACCTAGACAAGCTGAAAAATTGACAGTAGTTAATCGGAAACCTCAGACTCCTTATCTATAGAAAATCCATTGTGGTATGTGGAATGGAATGTCTTCACGTTGTACTTGGTACATGGAGCTGAGGTGCAGGTGCTGCTTTTTTTCTCCCATTATCACTTCAGAGAAGCTTGAGAGTGAGAAACTCAACGTTGCCGAAGTCACGCAGTCAGAAATAGCTCAGAAACAGAAGCTGCAGACGGTACTTGAAAAGATCAATGAAACCCTTAAACTCCCTCCAAGGAGCATCAAGTGGAATGTTGACTGTGAGTTGTGTATTTTACAGTGGAATTCTCACTTGCAAATAATATGAAAAGTTATCTTATCGTAGTTTGTAAAATCTTATTACATTATGAAAAATATTGAATATAAATTAGTTGAAGGAGATTTAACAGCTACCTCTTCATGTTTTGCTCAGGTGTGCATTCCTGTATACAACTAGAATTATCATTTTGTGTGTGCCACAGTGTAGATAATTGTATAAATGTGACAGCTAAGCAGTTACTGCTGTTGCCTGTGTACACAATAATATACTGGATTTTTAAAAAGTTGAATGTGTAAGTGACTGTTGTGTACACAGTATTGCGCAAAAGCCTGTATGCCCATTCTGAGAATTTCCCCCTCAAATATGGGTGACGTGTTTCTGTTTCGCTGTGAGACTTAGAGAGGAACTATAGATATGAAAAAGATAGACACATATTGTTGTGATAATATTTCCCGTTCTTTCTCTGGAAAGCTGAGGGCTCTGTATTTATCTTTCTACAATAACACTGCAAAATTATGTACAGTGCCATCCTAAACAGAGTTACACTTTTCTGAACCCACTGAAGTGAATGTTTAGAATTCCACTATTAGGCTGAGAGACTGTGATTTGTCCAGTGCTTCCTAGGTAACTTCTTGGCTGAGAGGGGAGTGGAGCCCAGGGTTCATGTCTTCTGTGCTGTCCCACATGGGACTGCTTCAGAGCAGAAGCTGGGGGGAAAGGGGTGTTTTGCCCCAGACCGTAGTGCCCTTGGGGGAACATATGGGGAAAGGCGGTCCCTTAGGTAAGCTGGACCCTGGATTTACAGATCCAAACAAGGGGAAAGCAGTATTGTCATATACCCTGTCCAGATGGGTGATGACTGCAATTAAGATGTCATGCCCTAGAGCAGGTTTGGAATGTCCATTTCCCCTAAAAGTGCATTCAATGAGGGCTCAAGCTTCCTCAGCAGCCTTTCGATGCAAACTTGACATCAGGGAGATCTGCAGAGCCATGACTGGGTCCTCTCCATCAACGTTCATCAATCACTACTCCATTGATGTAGTTTCCAGGAGAGAGGCAGCTGTTGGAAAAGCAGTGTTAAAAATCTCTCTTTCATTAACCAGCCCACACCCACCTCCATGGTAAGTGAGCTTACTAAGCTCCCATGTGGGACTGCACAGAAGACATGAAGATGAAAACATGGTTGCACTTACCTGTAACTGATGTTCATTGAATGTCTTCTGTGCAGACACACATCCCTCTCTCCTTCCCCGCTGTGGGCCACGCGCCTTCTTCTCAATCTCCATTGCAGCGGAAAGAGAATTGAGGGAAGAGTGCCCCCTCTGCTCCTCATCACATGATCATTTGGGTGGGAATGGAGCTTGAAGCTCTGCTGTGCCAAGAGGGAGGGGGAACGCTCAGTTGTAGATTCCAGAAGCTTGTAGAAAACTCAGCAGTATGTCTGCTCTGAAGCAGTCCCATGTGTACCTGCACAGAGGACACTCAAAGAACACCAGTTACAGGTAAGTGGAACCATGTTTCCTTTGGTTCAAGTCCAGCCCTCTAGCCCACTGTATTACACTGGCTCATAAGGAACACTGAGGTCCCATTCAGTTGAAATGAATTTGGGTGAGACTGAAGCATGTTGGATTCCATGTTTATATAATATTTGGACTTTTGCAATATGAAATAAGGATTCATGCAAATAGGTTATAGTACGTAATCATTTTGTACAAAGCAATTTTGTTTCAAATTTGTAATTTAGAATACATTGTGTGGTGGTTGCAAAGGGACCTCTACATAAAAATAGGTTATTTCAGGAACAGAATATCTCCTTGGTTCTTTAGCCACTTTGGTAGAGTTGCAGAGAGGCAATACTTCCTGTCCCCTGCCATTGCTCAGTGAAGTTATGGGGTGGGAGAAACTGGTGGGGAGAAATGATGTCAATCAACACCTGGACTTCACTTCCTGTTTCAGAACAGGAAGTAATGTCATGACACTTTAGGAATTTTCAAATCTCTGTGGTAGACATTTTAAAAATTCCTAGAGGTTCACGATGTCCAAAACAGGAAGCGATGTCATGACATTCTAGGGATTTCAAAAATCTTCAGTGTTTACCATAGGGATTTGAAAATTCCTAAACCATTGTGACATTGCTTCCTGTTCCAAAACAGGAAGTGACCCCCAGATGTCTCCATCTGCCCAGTGCTCCTAGGGGTTGCCACCCAAGGCTGGCAACCCTACACATTGGTAGTGCAACAATTCATAGGCTTCCTAAAAATTTAAATGAAAAAATAATAAAATATTATAAGTGTTTTTTGAACGACGTCTGTAGATTCAGTAGTCACACAGGCACCAAAATGAATTAGAATAAGAAAACAGCTAGATGCAAATCATTTTCTTTGAAGCTAGGAGCTTGATATTGGATTAAATATTTCCTACTGTTAGTCTTTTGATACTTTGTAGTCTTGTTAGTGTTAACTAAGCACTGGAAACCTGCTGTGAATAAGCTTACAACAACAAGAACACTTAACAAGTTCATGAGGAATGTTTGGGTCTCTCAGTTTAGTAAGTTATTGCTCAAGGGTACAGGCTAAATGGGCTCATTCGTCTTCCTGCAGACATCATGACACTTAAAATGAATTAAGTGCATGTTATGAATAGAAAATATCCTTCTGATAGTTCATAAATCGACACTAGAATAGTGAGTATAACAGAACTGCACAGCATGTGAATAGGCATTGCTTAATACTACTGCATAGTAAAATCTGCCTTTTGACTCAAGCGTCGATTTCCACCTTTCAAGAAAATGTAATCCAAACAAGCAGCAAAACCTAACCTGAGGAATATTGTTGATTGAATTGTTTTCACAGCACCAGTTGATTTATGTCAGGAAGGAGAAAGAGTTAAAATACAGACTCTTTCAGCAATCTCAAGCGTGCACAGACATCAAAAAATAAAATATTCTACACAGTCAAGGATGGGAACGCTGCATGCAAAAATAAATATTGGTTTTCGTTATGTAACGAGTTCTCAATTTGTTTCAGCTGTCCATGCTAAAAGTCTAGTTGCAATACTGCATCTTTTGGTTGCATTGTCTCAATATTTCCGTGCCCCGATCAGACTGCCGGATCATGTGTCCATCCAGGTTGTTGTGGTCCAGGTATGAAAGATGAAATCCATGACTCTTTGAAATTTCTATGCATTTTTTATAATAGAAAAGCTGTGTCAGAAAGGGATGTGGGGGGTAAGGGCTGGACCAGTTTGGCCTCAGGGGGATGGGCCGATCTCATAAGATCTCAGGAGCTACACTGGGTTGGCCCTGGTTAGTACTTGGATGGGAGACCACCAAGGAAGTCCAGGGTTGCAACGCAGAGGCAGGCGATGGCAAACCACCTCTGAACGTCTCTTGCCTCGAAAACCCTACAGTGTTGCCATAAGTTGGCTGCAACTTGACAACACTTTCCACCACCACAGAGGCGAAAGAGTTATTTCCAGGTCTCTTTTTGTAGAAAAAGCCCAGCAGGAACTCATTAGCATAATAGGCCACACACAACAGCAAGAACTCATTCGCATATTAGGCCACACCCTGACAGCACCGCTCATTAGGCCACACCCCCGTGTTACCAGAAGTGTGGTCATCCAGACACACCCACCTTTCCCTTCTTATTCTGTTTACCTTGTTTGTTGTCAAAACCCAGGGCTTTTTTAACTCCTTTGCATATTAGGCCACACACCCCTAATGTAGCCAATCCTAATGAGTTTCTGCTACTGGGTGTGGCCTATTATGCTAATGAGTTCCTGCTGGGCGTGGCCAACTCGGGAGCCTGCCGGAACTCCATTCCTGTGCGTTCCTGCCCAAAAATAGCCCTGGTTATTTCCATTCTGTTGCCTCATCTGCCAAGTCTCCTGGGGTATGCTCTCTCTCTTGCTCTCTCTCTCTCTCTTGCTTTCTCTCTCTCTCCCTCTCCCTCTCCCTCCAGGAAGAGCTGTTTTCCTCGTCAGTCTCATCCTCCATCTTGCTTGTTAATATATGGTTTTCAGCCATGCTGTGTTCCGCCTCCCTTGCCTCGCTTTTAAGCAGGCTTTTACTCATAAGCAGGCTCTTTCCCAACATCTGCCAAGATGGGGGTGCTTTCTGAACCCCCACCTAAGTGAAAAAGCTATCGAGTTAGTCAGTGTGTGTACTCTTGACATTTCTTCAATAAGTCAAAGGAACTAAAATTTCCTGATGTCATAGCATGCTAGGTGGTGATATTTAACGCGTTTAATATCAAATGCCATTTTAGCTTGTAGTGTAGATGTAAAGTTAATGTTGTTCGTATTTCTAGTGCACTGCCCCTTCCAGTTTAAATATTCAGATGATGCTTTGTGCTGAATAAGCAATTATTTTCATTGAACACAAGTGTAATGAGCGGTTTTACATTATAATCTATTCTGATCACAAATTTACACTCTTCCATAAATTTGGGAAATGTTTGCCAGTCATTCTGCACTGCTGAGGCTTGTTCCCTAAACTTTTGACCTTTATTCTTTTAATTTTTTAAATAAAATTGGACTTTGTTCGTTTTGATTCTTGCTGAGTTTTGTGTTAACGTCCAGTTTACCTTTCTTCCCCCTATCTCCAGCTACTGCTGCTTCTTCCGTCTTTCTTTCCTGCCCATGTATTTGAGCCCTTCATTGTTCTAATCATGTTACTTAACTGGCCCTGTGCTATACTGCCAATAAATACAGCTTCCGTCAGCTTCTTTGAACTATGTATGAGTGGAAATATGTTGGTAAGATATAAAGACCAGGAAACTTTGGGTAGATGTGGCTGAAGTCAAATATTTAACTTCTAAGCTATTAAGATTCCATTAAAAAATCTAGAATGGTTCTGCACTGACTTCAGAGAAAAAAGTACTGTAAACCGAACAGTTTGGTTTTCTCACATCAGTACTGTAAATATGGGAGAAGTACAGGCTTATCTCTAAATGTGAGCACTCACAAAAAAGCGACAAAAGAATGTAGCATTCAGGCCCTAAGGGAAAGTGCTCATTGGTAACCACTTAGAATTCCAATTGTGCATGCCATATTCAAAAGGACACTTCTGTAGAGCTGGATTTGATTGTTCTTTTTAGTAGTCACCAAATATGAGAGAGAGCTACCGGTAGAACTACTTAGTTCAAGCAACACTAGAAACACGTAGAACCTGATTGCAGCCCTAATTCATGCTTTGGTGGCCTCCAGATTATTCCACCTTCAGATTCCAATAGGAGATGTCGTCCTAATTCCTCTCTTTCCTTGCTCTACCTTCTCTTTTCACCCACCCTCTGTTGCCAGTCTATCTGTCACCTTAATTGGCTCATCTTCTTTAGAGCATTCACATATCTGTGAAATAAATATTTTGCATTAAGAAACTGGTCCAATATCTGTGGAATATCGTTTGAATTGGCCTTGTTTTCTAGGACTGCCATATTGGAAATAATGCAGATGTTAAGTATAAACGGGGGGGGGGATGAAAAGACACAACTGAGGCATTAGGCACGGCATAGTGTTTGTTCCAGTTATTCTTTCATGTCAAATATGGGTGCTGAATAGGCCATCAGCAAATTATTTTTAAAAATATGTCATATTTCATTCTGCATAGATCAGTGTAAGCTCTTTTCTGTCACAGTTTGCAAATACAGGTCACAACAAGGCTCCATAACCATTACATCATCACACTGTGTGTTTCATGCCAGTCTCACTAGTACACTGGAGAGGTGCCTAGCCAAAGCCTTTTGGACTATCCAGAAGTAGAAGCAACATAATTCAGTCGAAAAGTCTTTGATGTCCCTGACTCTTATGTCGTTACATTTGCAGTTAGTTTTCACACTTTGAAGTATATAATTTATTTATTTAGAAAATGTATATGCAGAGACTGGCTCAAGGCAGCCAACAACTTAAACAATGTAACAAAACCAAAACAAGCCATTAAAAACAAGCCCAGGACATTAAACATAGCATGCAACAAACAGTGAACAGCCTAAAATAGTACTCATACGACAGTCCTTCAGGCTACAGGCAGCCCATAAATCAGCTGGGAAAAATGGAACCTGCAAATAAACAAATATCTCTTTTTCAGAAACGTGATGGCATCCTCCAGTCCCGACAAATACAAGAGGAAATTACTGGTAACACCGAGTATGTAGCCAGCATCTTCAATACATCTTCAAAATTCAACTGTTAGCCAGCATTAAATCTTAATTATTTGGTGTTCTAAGAATCATTCATAGCTCAGCTGATAAAAGGGTTCCAAATATACTTTACTAAAAGTTATATGCAGGGGTCATTTTGTAGAAAAAGATGCAGGAGCTCATTAGCATAACTTATTTGCATATGCCACACCCCCTGACATCACCGGAAGTGTGTCAGAAGGCAATACCCACCGCTCAGGTTCCACTGGACTGTTTTAGATTGCTAGCTATTGAGGAGAGGAACGTGCAGATCTGTCCTGAATGAAACTTGGTCTTAAAGGTGCCACTGGACTGTTTTGGACCGGGGCGCCAGGGGGAGCTCTGCAACTTACCTGGCTGCTTCTTGCTCTGACTGAGGGCTGCTGGGAGCAGGGGGTGGGGCTTGTTGCAAGTGCCTGCCCCCTGGGCTCTTTACTGCCGGAGCTCCGCTCCTGTGCACTCTTGCAGGAAATGACCCCTGGTTATATGAACCCCAAGCAAGTGAAGAGTGTTATATTCAAATTTTCCTTTTTGGTTTTTATACAGTTCAGGGCACTTTTTTGCATAGCCCAAATGCTTCATTTTAGTAAATTTCAGTTTGAACAATGATCTCAACCTAAAGAATATGAGTAACGTAATCCTTTTAGTTTTAAGGGAAAAATGAAAGCAAGAATGTTTGAATCCTTCCTTTTTTTCATTGGGCTTGGCTGAGGGAAGTTTTGATCTTACAGACAACAGTTTAATTGAAGTCACTGGGCATAATGCTATGTACAGGTGTTCCTCAGTTTATATGTGTGCATGTTTACCCCACACATGAAAAGTATATTAAATGACTGTGCAAGTGTGTATACATAAAATTGCATTATTTCTTTTTCTGCAGGGCATTGTCAGGACGGCACGGTAAGTCACATTTGATTCTGAGTTTTCCAGAGGTTTCCAGAGTATACTTCAGTTAATTCTGCTACAGCTGCTCTGTTTTTTTCAAGATGAACCTAATTCAGATTCATATTTGTCTTGTTTAACATGTAAACATTAGCACTAAAGTCTATGACCCAAAGAAAAATCTATCCATCCCATCTGTGTTTATTTGTTTTTTCCTTGGTGCAGTATAGAAAAATTTGCGTGCCTACCTTGAATTAATTAATCTCTGTGCAAGTTGAGCTGCCTTATCCCATTAAATGAAGTGGAAGGCTCTGTGGCATGTACTCCAAAGCCAATGGAAGGCATAGTGCCCTGCAGTGGTTATTTTTTGCTTCAGAAGAAAGTATGTGAGGGGCCTCCTTTTGGCAAAACATAGATAGTTTTAATTGCCAAAAGACACCTGATGGTTTTGATTGAGACCCTTATATGAAATTGCCACTTCTTGCACAGACTTGCTTCTGTTACATTGGATATTTATCTATTATAGTATTGTTTGTTGTTATGGTATATACAAAATTAGAGAGCCATCTTGGTGCAGTGGTTAAGAGCGGTGGACTCTAATCTGGCAAACCAGGTTGGATTCCCCACTTCTCCACATGAAGCCAGCTGGGTGGCCTTGGGTCAGTCACAGTTCTTTCAGAGCTCTCTCAGCCCCTACAAAACAAGTCTAGCTTACCACCTAGTGGTGCATAATGCTAAAAGAGCTAGAACTTCCAGCTGCCAGACAATCTTAGGATCTCCTAGCTATACTACACACAATGCCATACTATAATTAATATACAAAATTCTTCAGAGTCCAAATCACAATCCCTATAGTGCACCTCAGTAAAAGCTGATTGTTCATGGCCACGTCGCAGTAATAGGGAATAAGAAGAGGAGATTGGATTTATACCCCACCCTTCACTCAGAGTGGTTTACAATCTCCTTCCCTTCCTCTCCCCACAACAGACACCCTAAGTTAGCGTGAGCTAACTCATAGGTTTTTTAGCCTCCGGTTCACACATTTTTGTCTTAGCTCTGGAAAGATGGCTCCAGAGCAAACTAATTTATACAGTAGCCAAATCACTCGCTCACAACTTTAATGCCAGTAGCTCACAAAGTAGAATTTTTGCTCACAAGACTCCACAGCTTAGAGGGAGCATTGTGTGAGGTAGGTGGGGCTGAGAGAGCTCTGAGAGAACTGCTCTTGAGAGAACAGCTCTGAAATAACTTATGACTGACCCAAGGTCATGCCAGCAGCTGCATGTGGAGGAGTGGGGAATCAAACCCAGTTCTGCCAGATTAGAGTCCACACTCCTAACCACTACACCAAACTGACACTACAGCACAACAGAAATAATCATCACATATTTCATCAACCTGACAGGCTATCTTCATGGGAGTATGACAGGGGGAGTGTCTCCCATTTATTCTCCTGGACCTGTTTGCAGCATTCAGTACCATCGACCATTGTATTCTTCTGGAAGGGCTGGTTGAGTTGGGAGTGGGTGGTTCAACTTTGGCTGATTCCAGAAAGTGGTGCAGGGGGACTGCTGCTCGACCTCATAGCATTTATGCTGTGGGGTCCCACAGGGTTCTATCTTGTCCAGGGCCGGCTCGCTCACTAGGCGAACTAGGCGCTCGCCTAGAGCGCGCCGGCCCTTAGGGGTGCCAAACTGGCACCACCACCCCCGCCAAAAGCCCTGCAACTTTCTTGACCGGGTGGGTGACTGCTGTGCGCCGCCGGGTCTTTCAGTGCACTCAGAAGTGCAGCCATCATCCTCTTGGAGGAGCAGGAGCCACTGGCCTCCCCACCCCCAGGAATTAGTGGTTAGGAGCGCAGACTCTAATCTGGGTGACCCGGGTTGGATTCCCCCAGTCCTCCTCCACATGCAGCTGCTGGCGTGGCCTTGGCTCAGTCACAAGTTCTCTCAGAGCTGTTCTCTCAAGGGCAGTCCTCGAAAGAGCTCTCTCAGCCCACCAACCTCACAACCTTTCAGATTTTGTGTTGTTTATTCTGCCTAAAATGCATTTATGTTTGAAAATTGGGGGGCACACAGGGGGGGGGGCACCAGAAAGTATCCTCACCTAGTGTGCAAAAAAACCTGGGGCCGGCCCTGATCTTGTCCGCCATGCTGTTTAATATCTAAATGAGACTGCTGGGTGGGAGAGATCATCAGGTGATTTGAAGTAAGGTGCCACCAATATTGGGATGACACCTGGCTCTGTTTCTCCGTAGCAGCTATGTCAGGTAGGTCTGTGGGAGTCCTGAACACGTGCCTGAAGATGGTAAAGAGGATGGATGAAGTCCAGTAAATTGAAGCTCAGTCCAGACAAGATTAAGTTGCTGCTGGTCAATGACAAAGCTGCTTGAGGACTGGGGCGTCAGCCTGTCCTGAAGGGGACTACACTACCCACAAAGGCACTGGTTCATAGCTTGGGAGTATCGCTGGATCCTGGCCTACAGTTGGAGGCCCTGATGTCCTCTGTGGCTTGTGGTGCCTTTTATCAGTTTCAGCTGATATGCCTACTGTGGCTGTTCCTCAAAAAGCATGATCCGGCTACAGTGATCCAGGCTGTGATTATATTCAGGTTAGATGACCTTAAGGCAGTTTACACGGAGCTGCCTTTGAACATGATCCAGAAACTTCAGCCCATCTAAAAGGCCAGGCTGTTTTCAGGGGCAGAATTTAGGGATTGTATCACCCCATGCAGAAAGATTTACACTGGCTGCCCATGTGTTTCTGGGCACAATTCAAAGTGCTGGTTGTTACCTTTAAAGCCCAAAATGGCTTGGGGCCAGGGTACTTGAAGAATCGCCTCCTCTCATATTGTCCAGCCCGCCAGTTACAATCTGTCTCACAAGCAGTGCTCTCTCTGCTCCCACCTTCAGAGGTGAGGTAGGTGGCAACCAAGGTTTTCAGTAGTGACACCTTAGATGTGGAATGCCCTTCCCCTAGAGGTTCCACCTGGCACCTGTGTTGCTTTCTTTTAGGTGCCAGGCCAAAACGATTCTGTTCACTCAGGCTTTTAATTAAGAGGTTGATTTTTTAACACAAGTTCAGTGTAAAAATTTATTTTAAGCTGTTTCTGATCTGTTTTTATGGTATGTGTTTTTATGGTATATGCCAATTTGGTGTAGTGGTTAAGTGTGCGGGCTCTAATCTGGGAGAACCGGGTTTGATTCCCCACTCCTCCACTTGCACCTGGCTGGATGACCTTGGGCAAGCCATAGCTCTGATAAGAGCTGTTCTTGAAAAATCAGTTTCTCTCAGCCCCACCTACCTCACAGGGTGTCTGTTGTGGGGAGGGGAAGGGAAAGGAGTTTGTAAGCCACTCTGAGACTCCTTTGGGTAGTGAAGGGCAGGGTATAAATCGAATCTCTTCTTCTTCTTCTTTTATACTGGGCTGGGGTTTATTTTCTAATGCTGGATTTTAATTCACATGTTTTTTTAATGTTTTCTTTTTATCATTTTTATTTTGTAAGCTATCTTGGACAGGTTCCTGGAGGGTGGCATAAAAGTTTTCTGAATTAAAAAAAAATGAACGATGAACAATATTGGTATTGTAGGACTGTTACCTAACAAGTTTTTGTCCCCTTTGTTTCAGAACGGGATGCATTTGACACCCTATTTGATCATGCTCCAGACAAACTCAATGTAGTGAAAAAGGTTGGACTGCCTTTTTGATTCTGATGTACTACATTTAAGTACCATAGAATGACACTAAAAACAGCTAAAACAAAAACTTTGCCTTTTCAAAGGAATTTCACATGGATTGTTGATGGTGTTCATGATCTTGCTTAATGTTTATTTATTGTTGGCTCGTATAAATAGATTTAAAAATCTAGGATGGAAACAGATCAAGTTACCTTAATCTCAGTGGTTTGTATCACATGCCCCATATTGATGCTGAGGAGAAGCCCTATGCCACCCAGCTGATCACCGTAGGAGCCAGATTTTACGGCCCTGGTCACACGCGAGGATTTGGGCCGGGAGAGGGACGGATCGGATGCGCGGCAAATGGGTGCGATCCCACGGCAACATCTGGGAAGCGTTGCGTGCCCATCACCGATCCGTCCTTCCCGCCCAAAACCCCGCACCAAAAAAGAACCACCTACTTGGGTGGTTCATCCGGAAAGGCCGCGGCAAGTGCGGCCGTGGGATCGCTGGCGCGTCCTTCCGCCGGCGCATCCCCGGCTCCTGGGCGAACTGCGCATGTGTGAGCATGCGCAGTTCGCCAGCCTTCCCCTCCCACCGTCGCTTTCTCCCCGGCATCCGATCGTGCCGGGGAGCAACAGCTCCGCGGCTCAGGGGATCCGTGGGATCCCGCCGCGGCGTCTCTAGTTTGGTGCAGCTCAGAATAGCCGCACTTCGGCCGTCGTTTTTCCTGCCGTGTGGCAAGGACGCTAGACATCCTTCCTATTCAACAGAGGGAACTGCAAGAAAGGCTTTTTCTGATTAGTACAAGGAACTGGAAATGCAGCTCCAGGTCAGATGACTTAAGGGAGGAGTCAGAACAGCAGCCCTGGAGCCTTGTAGGTTTATTAATAAGATTTGAGTAACTAAAATTAGAACTCTGTATTCTTTGAATAATCCATGCACTAATAAACTACAAAGGGAGGGTTCGGAGCTGGGTAAGTTGTTTTGTTTAAACAGCAGGATGTGGTAAATGCATTGCATGTTCAGGACACACAGTGCAAGGATGTGCCATCCTCGAAGCAGTTGTTCTTGGACAGGGGTGGCCAAACTTGCTTAACGTAGCAGCCACACAGAATAAACGTCAGATGTTTGAGAGCTGCAAGACATGAACACACACGTTTTTATTGAAAATATGCAAATTTTCTTTTTATTAACATTAAATTAGACTGTGTGAAAGAACCCCATGCCGCTTCCGAACTGCAGTTTGGCCACCCCTGCTCTGGGAACATACATCTCCCTTGCATGTGTTTTGTAATTAGCAGCAGCAGCAAACCTTTCCTTCAGCTAGCTAGAACCTTTAAGGGAGAAAGGAGATGTACCATTACAACTAGACAGAGAGAAGGAACATCTGTCTCTCTATCTAACTGTTGGGGCTTAGGTTATAAATCAGATTTTAAATTATAAAGTCTTTCTTCCCTAGTAATGTGAATCTTCTGTTGTTTTCTTCAGCACCATATCTTCTTCAGCCCTAGACATACAGGATTTTTAACTTTTATTTATTATTGGTTTGTTTGTTTGTTTATTCATTTCGATTTTTGTGGGGCTCAGGGCGGTTTACAGCAGCATAAAATCCAATACAATTTTAAAACCCGTTAAAACTACAGAATTCAATATAAAAACATTCAACATGGATATTTCAACACTTTAAACAAGATGGCATGTCTAGCGTTCAGATTTTCATGGGGGAGGGGTGCCGGGCAGATGTAAGGGAACTGTGTGGCCTCCATCAGATATTAATCAACCTATACTACTTTACGTCTGCCTCATTATTTTCTCTACTCTGGTTTATTAATTATATTTCTGTAGCAGTAACAATTCAGTTTTTTAAAGTAGTCATCATTTAACATCAGCGTAATATTTGCGTAATGTTTGTGATGCATTTGACCGGGTTTTCCACTCTTGTGAGACAAGAAACAGACTAATTACGCATTTTTAAATGGCGCAATATGGTTAGTGTTTGCCCTATTTTAAAAAAATATGTGTTAAAATGATTTGATTTTAAAAGCCATGTGTTCTTAATTTTCAGACCCTCATAACTTTTGTGAATAAGCACTTGAACAAGCTGAATTTGGAAGTTACAGAGTTGGAAACCCAGGTAGGACCATGTAGTTGTGTTTTCTAGCGAAGAACAGTGTCCCGTCATCTTCCATCTTTTCCAGTTTATTCATGACTTTTCTCTTTAGGCCATTCGGGGTGAGATGGGAAACTATCAAGGTATTGCCAAGTTTATTATTTTTTTAAACTATTCATACTTGGATAGTATGAACATGTTCTTAATAACTGCAGACAAAAGTCTTTAATAATTGTAACTGTAGATACTGATAATCATATATGAGTTCAAGCAATCTTGATTACCTTGAGGAAATCACGTCATCGTCCTCGTAGTAAACATAGTATTTTAGACTATTCAAAGTATGTTATATACATTATTTTGGTAACCCCTACAATACCCATATAAGGTAGAACTGTATCAGTGAGTTTATGGCAAGGACAGAATTTGACCAGGAAACGTCTTGGCTCATCCCTTATCACTGTGGCACGAGGTGTCAAATAGTATCCTTTTACAGCATTTGGATAACTGAGCAGAATGGGCTCTGTTTCATTGACCTTGTATGTTTGACAAGCCAAAAGACTCTGTTGGCCAAGTGTAGAATGCAGGCTACCTGGAGCTGTTTCAGCGGTGCAGGTGCTGCGGGTGGAGGGGGGGGGGGGGGGGGGACACCTTGTGTTTTATCCCCTTGTCAGGTCTTGAAGGAACTCACTCCCAACTACACTCTCTTGGCACTGATTTGTTTATTGAAAGGTAAAGAGATTTCAAGCATAGATGAAGCTGTGTCAGAACTAACTCCCCTTGGTGCCAGTTCTCCAACTGTACATAATTCAAACAATCCCCCCCCCCATGACCAAACCAATCACACCCAGACATCCAGCCTGCCAAAATCTACAGTACACCATCAGCCCTCCTCCAACACCTGCAAATCTATGGTTACATTATCTAGCAGTGTCTGGTACCAGCGCCTGGAACTCAAGGTCAGGCACGCATTCTTCCCAACAAGGGGTGGCCCCGCATGGACGCCGCTACAAGCCAGCGCAACTCTCAGCAGAGCAATCCCACACACGCACTTACACACACTCCTCCCCCCCGATTCCCAGACAGAGTAAGACATGGCAGTGAGCTTACAGACATCAAAGACAGGCAGTTAAGAAAACATATGGCAAACACGGACCAAGTTTGACACCCCTGAACTCTGCATGTAGATGCAGGTTCATACATGACATGAGCAGCATGAGAGTCATTTTGTGTGGCTGTTATTGCTCTGCTTTGCTTGAGAACTGTTATTGTTCATGTGACAGTGAACTAACATTGTCTGTCTTCCGAACAGCATGGTTACTTTCTACAGATGTTAGCCAAGTTGTGTCGGAAGGCAGCAGTGTAACAGCACCATGGTTTTCAGTAATATATGAAGTGCAAGATTTTGATCTGGATTGCGCCAGATTAGTTTTAAGAATATGTTGGTTACCTTTGTAATTCTGTTAGGCTTTGTCAATATTTCTTGCAATGCTACTTTAAGAGAGCTAAATCAATCATGATGAAACAGCCTGTGGCATCTTTTCAGAAACCTGTCCTTGGATGATTGAACTGTTATTCTCTGCTTACTTAACTTTCTTCTGCAACCGTAAGGAACTGGTTGTTACATTAGGCAGCTGTAGGCACTGGTCAGCCATGTTCAATGAACCTCAGTTTTAGTCATTGGTATGAGTCCCTGTTTTGTAACATTTCAGTCTTCCAAATCACGGTGTGGATGATTGTGAATGTGCCGCAGGATAAACATTTGCATGACAGCCAGTGTGGTGTAGTGGTGAGAGTGTCAGACCAGAATCTGGGAGACCCAGGTTCAAATAACCACGTTGCCATGGAAGCTTTCGGGATGACTTTGGGTTGGTCACACACTCTAGGCTTAACTTATGTCACTGGGCTGTTGTGTTGATGAAATGGAGGAGCGGAGAATGATGTAAGCTGTTTTGGGCCTCCACTGGGGAGAAAGATAAGGTGTAAATGAAATAAATGATGAATAATGTACTGGGGATTTGTGTCTGGGCAGGCCCAGTCTGCAGGTATCCTTATTTCAATTTAAAAATGGCAAGAAATGTTTGTTGTGTTTGCCTTTAACCACTGACCCAAAGCAAACGAGCTATTTGTGAGGGTTGAGCTGTTGCTCATTTCCAGTGACCTTTCCCTCAGAAGTGGGAAGGGAACACAGAGCTTTTTTCAGCTGAATTTGTCCAGCTTACTTCTACTTCAGGGACCAAGATACACCGGTAGTACTGGCTGCTGAACAAGTCTGGGGAATATCCCTCTTCTCCTCAAATTCAATGTGCTACCATGACCTTCTTGCTGTATTAAGAAAATTTGAGTTTGGGAAAGGAACACATTCTTCACTTGCATTAGATCTCAACGTAAAAGATCTCCATGAGCAAAGCTGGGAAAGACTTCTGCCTAAAAGTTAAAACTGTCAAGGAGTACTTACCAAGGCGAGTCTGAGCGTTTGAGCGCATATTCAGAGACTTTTAAAAATGTTGCGAAAGTAATCGATAAAGATGGCGGGGAAGAGGACGGAGAAAAAGAAACTTTTGAAATCGAAAGTAATTGAGAGCCCAAAACCGGAAGTAACCAACGAGCTGGCAAAGACTTTGGCAGAATCCATGCGCCCCCTGATGGACCAGATGAATAACTTCAAAGAGCAGCTGACAAAAATGACCCAGTGAATCACCACTCAGCAAACGCAGATAAATGAGACTTTGCAAATGATGAATCAAACAGCTGAGAAGGTGAAAGAAGTGGACGCCACTGCACAAAAGGTGAAGAAGAAAGTACAAAAACTGGAAAAGAAGCAAGTTTCTACAGAAGACCAGCTGCTACAACTACAAATGGAAAAGGCTAACATGATTCTTCGCTTCCAGGGCATGCCAGAGACGAAGGGAGAGAATATGAAGGAAAGGATGAGTGAAATATTGGCCCCAGTGACAAATATGAAGGTGGAATTTTTGCTAAGCGAAATGGATGTGGCCTTCAGGTCATATTCAGGATACATAAAGAAAAATAATCTCGAAGAGGCATGTGAGGGATGCAATCCTGAAAGCAGTATCTGGAGCACCCCTGAGAGACGGGGAGACTGCCATCAGAGTACTAAAAGATATTCCATTTGAAATAAGAGAAAGGAGAAAGAAATATCTTTCTTCAGACAAACTCAGTTGGGTACAGATGGCTAATTCCAGCAGGCGTTACCTTCAAAATTAAGGATAAAAAAGAAAAGATTGACTCTGTTTTGAAAGTACGGGAATTTTTAAGAGTCCAGCTGGGAGGGCCAGTGGAGGAAGAAAAAGAAGGGATGGACAGTAAGTCCAGTGGCGAGCTAGACTCGGGATCTTCCGGAGAGGACTCTCTTTCAGAGAAAGGGGCAGCAGCTCCTAAAAGTCCTTATAAGCTGCGGAAGAGACTGGGAAAAGAGAAGTGAAGGCTGAAGGACTCTGAATTGTTCCTTTGAGATTTTGAAATGATGCTTTGGGGTATTTCTTAATGACAGTTAAGATTGGGGGGAAAGTTAACAAAAAAATATTTGATCTAGTTCATAATGAGATTAACGAGATTAAGAATTGATGTATGTTTAAAGTGATTAGAAGATCTCCTCTCTTGGGTTTTTAGTTATTAGTGGGTATCTTTGATTTGTCCCTAGATGTAGTCCCTTACCCTTTTTCTGTTGTAGTTTGTAGTGATTATAAAAAATGCAATAAAAAATCCCCTCGGGGGGGGGGGAATTGAAGTAAAATAGAGAGTTGTATTCAAGTCTTAATAACCATAGTAAATAAAGTCTGTGTGCTAGCTGGCTTATTTGCAAAGATCAGAAAGATTTTAAACACGGTGACTTCTTTGCATAATAGATTGACAAATAATGGAATGCTAACCTAATCTACATTTTAATTACTAATGGTTTTATAAAAAATCTACTTTTAAAGGGAAGTAAGGCCAGTTTTCGGAAAATCAGAAATCTTCTTGTTAGGGGACTCTGCTCTTTATTTTGGAAAAATCCTTTTTTCCAGATTTTTAGTCATTTTTGTTGAAACCTCTTTGATGTGAAGTTTAACAAAAACAATGCAGAAATGTTTAAAAATTCCAGAGCTACAGTTTCCCCAAATAGATTGGGCAACCTACAGTAAACTGGTTAGAATTGTGTTTTATTTTGCTTCTCACTAAGAAGTGTGTATTGATACATGATTGCATAATGAAATAAGCAAGTTCCATAGGATTCCCCATCACTTTAGAACATGGCAATGTTTTAATTATTTAATTATATGGTCATTGTCTACTTTCTGGAATTCTGGATTTCTAAAACAGTGTGGTTGTTTTATTTACACTACATATCTGCTAAAATAGGTAGCTGTGTTGCTTTAAGGAATTCACTTAGTTACCTTTTTCTTAAACCGTTGACCACCAGCTTTAATTTAATAAAACTGAGAAACTAACAAGCATAGGATTGACTGAGTTGTTTAGCTATCTAGTGCGTATTCTAATAATAGAGACTAGATGAGCCCAGCTGATAACATTCAGAATAACATTCAGAATAATTGTAAGGCATCCAGATCTATAGCAGAGGCTTTCGGAGAACATGTATTGGGGTTGGATCCATGGACGTAAGAATCATGGATCTTCCTGGTCCCCCCCCCCCCAGCAATCCTTTCCAACAGTGGAAAAGGGACCCACATGTACTGGCCATATGAGTCACAAGGCTGCAGTGGATAAGAGGAAGACGAAGGAAACTGGCCTTGCCTCCCTCTTCTGTCAGTGTAGTAAACTTTCCTGGAGTTGGAAAGGACTTCGAGGGGCAGGAGAACATGGGAAGATCTGCAGCCTTCAGCACCTTTTGTTGATAGTTAGCTGGATCCATCCCATTAGTGCATCTTGTGGATGGTCAATCACTTGTCTCATATGCTAAACTTATCTCGAGGTATAAGATGGCTTCCAGCTCTTTCTAGGGCTATTACAAACTTATTAGTAAGTCCTGAATGCAAAACAGAATCTCATATTGTGTAAATCCAGGCATTATGATTCTCTGTTTGGGCACCTCCGCTTTAAACACATTTATTTCCACTTCAGTTTTTGCTACTGTTAATCCGTTATTTATTTATTTGCTTACTTTCTCTGCAATGAGGCGCGAAAGCAGCTTACACCAGTCCCTTCTCCTCCATTTTGTCTTCACAACAACCCTGTGAGGTGGATGAGGCTGAGAGTGTATGACTGGCCCAAGGTTATCCAGCAAACTTCCAGGGTGGAGTGGGGATTCAAACCTGGGTCTCCCAGACCCTAGTCCAGCACTCTTGACAACTACACCACATTGGATCTCTACACGTACGCCATAGCCATAGTACTGTTTCTTTCTTCATAATTTGATCTCAGCACAGAGCAATGAGATTTCTTTTGAGAGACTATGCTGAGGCAATTATCTTCTGTTAAAGTTTGCAGATGGAGTGTACCTGGTGCTCCTGATGGGTCTTCTCGAAGGTTATTTTGTGCCTCTACACAGCTTTTTCTTGACTCCTGATAGTTTCGAACAAAAGGTAATTCTATAGTTGGAATTCATACTGCAATTCTTAATGCACATAGTAAGGTAAAGGTAAAGGTTCCCTTGCTCGAAAGCCAATCGAATCCGACTCTAGGGTTGCGGTGCTCATCTCCGTTTCAAAGCCCAAGAGCCAGCGCTGTCCGAAGACGTTTCCGTGGTCATGTGGCCGGCATGACTAAACACGAAGGCGCACGGAACGCTGTTACCTTCCCACCGAAGTGATACCTATTTATCTACTTGCAATTTCTTGCTTTCGAACGGCTAGGTTGGCAGGAGCTGGAACTAGAGACGGGAGCTCACTCCGTCATGCGGCACCCGGGTCTCGAACTGCTGAACTACTGACCTTTCACAGCCTGCAGTTCAGCATCTTAACCACTTGAGCCACCGCAGCTCCTAATGGACATAGTAGAGATGCATTATATGCAGCAAGCTATAAGGACTCATAGGAAAGGAAAATCCCACCGTCCCACTGGCCTTCTCCCCTCTAGCTCTGCTTCTCCTCTCCCATCCCCCTGCTTTAGCTTGCTCCATTTCCCCTCCCTTCTGCCCAGTGTCTCCCACATTGCATTTCCCTTCTTGATATACCCCCCCTTTCTTTCTCCTTTTCATGGTACTGTTCAGTGACACCACTACTTTAATGTCAATTTGGTTTGCTACAGCAACCCAAAATGCCATCCAGCTCTGTCCCTTCTCCCCTGATCTGAATATGCACAGACTTCACATTTAACTTATTAGCAGGGCTTTTTTTGGGCAGGAA